CCACAGGTTTCCCTGACCCACCGTTTCTGCGTGGCCAGAAAGCCGGGGGGCAAGTGGGGCATCACGCCTGAAGGCTGCACCGCGGCGCTCGATCCAGCTGCAGGCAGAAGGGAGAGAGTTATTCTGCCGCTGCCAACTTCTGCCTGGACCTGTCCCAGAGCCCTGAAATGGGGGTGGCTGCCTGCAGTCGGCCGGGGGGTGGCAGGCAAGGGGGCTCTGTGCTGCGGGACCCCAGCCTTGAACGTGCTCGTCCGCAGAAGCACAAGCAAGCTGGGGAATGAGGCGCCGCTCGGAGCTGGGCCCGGCAGCACCTGCGGGGTTAGGCTTGGCGCAGGGTTTGGCTTGGCTTGGGGTTAGGCTCGGCATGGGGTTAGGCTCAGCTTGGGGTTATGCTCAGCTTGGGGTTAGGCTCGGCACAGGGTTACCTGAGGAGCCCGCGAGCGGGATGCACCACCGCAGAGAAGCGCAACCGAACGGCACTTACCGTACCCGGTTGTGGGCAAGCCCAGGTGCTTCATACGGTTTTTGACGAGCTCGGAAAGCTCCTGCCTCTCGGAGCGCCGGTACAAGCTGAGGCGCTGCTGGCTGATCCACTCGGCCGTCTTGCTGGAGTGCTTGTTGCCCTTCCTGCTCAGCCGGCGCGCCCACTGCATGCTCTTGCGCCGCAGCAGCGGGTGCTCGGACTGGTCGCTGGAGCACGAGTTCCTGTGGTGGCTGGTCTTGATGCCCCAGTGCTCCTTGACGTCCTTCGTGTCCTCGCAGTCCTCGACGTTGATTGAGATCTGTGACTGGAAGCCCAGCAGGTCACGGGGAGGTGGGGGGAGCCAAGAAGAGCCTGTCCAGTCTATGCTGGGGTGGGATCTCTCCCATGGGATGGGATCCTTCCTCTGACCCACACGCACTCTCCCAGCACATCATGTCTGTACTGCTAAAACTACCCAGCCGGCAGATTTGGGATAAGCGCTGTCGAGTGGAGTCTAACGGGCGCCTGACATGTCTCACACGATTATCTCTGGGCTGCCCAAGGGACAGCCGTGCCCTTGTCTCCCTCTTTCATCGTACAGCAGACGTGCTGCCGAATCTCCGATACAGCAATCCCCACTGGTGAGCAGGAATTTATTAATAAAGCAGTTTAAAGCATCTCTAAGAAAGAGGTGGATTGCATTTAATTAAATGTCATCTTTGGCCCCTGTACCTGCTTCCTACAAAGCTGAAAACTGAAGGTATTTAAAACGGAGCCTGGCTCACTCCCCCGCTCCTTATCCCAGTTAATTACGCTTCAGGGTGGCGAGGACTTTTGTCTTCCTGGACTGCCGAGGCTCAGCCGGCACCGGCCTTCTGCTAGGACAGGCAGCGCCGTGCTGGCACCGGGGGTGACAGCCGGCACAAGGCACACGGTGGCTCTTGGTGGCCGGAGGAGCCACTGGGGCAATTTTTACGGTGGCTTTTGGGGGCGGGGGGAGCCACTGGCGCAAGCCAGCCCAGCACTTGCCCGCGGGTCAGCCTCCAGGTCGGGGGAGACCAGGAGGCAGCGCTGACAGCCAGGGTAATGCCCGACGCCGCCCGAGCGCCCGGCGGCTGGATGCGAGCGGCGCGGTACTCACCTGCGTTCTGATGTCATGGGGCTACAGCGGGGGAAAAGGAAGGAAAAATAAAGTGTCAGCCCAGCAAATGGGCAGCCCTGCTGTGCCGCATCCCCCCCACTCCCCGGGGACTCGGTGCCACGCAACACCGCAGAGCTGTGCCGAGAAAATCCCCCCGCCTGCCCGCAGCCAGGCTGCTGCCCGGAGAGACGGGCATTTACACCGAGCCAGCTTACCCGGCTGGGGAACCAGGACACCACCACCATAACGCAGACGTGGGGCCGCTAATGAAGCCAAGGCAGAGCTTCCCCTCCCCTCACTCCAACCACCGCTGCTGCAACCAGGTCCGAGGGGCCTCATGGACCCGGCCAGCCTCACAGACCGCATCTCTGCTGGGCGGTGATGCTCAGCTGGGACCAGCAGCAGCCCCTGCCCGGCATACGCCACCACCGTGCCCCTACCTCGGAGGTTGCAAACATGTGCGACTCCGTCCTGTAAATCCCGATGGGAATCTCTGCGCTGGAGGAGCAGAGCTTCTGGAAGAGGCGGCCGTACGTCCGGATCCACAGGTCGTCTTCAGTGATCTTCATCTGAGAAACAGAGGACAAACATCAACCGCCCTGTGCCGTGCAGAGCCCGCTGAGGAGCACCTCAGGGCTGCTCCTGAGCTTCCCCCAGCTCAGCCACGTCAGTCCCGAAAGTGAGCTGGATTCCACAAAAAGACCAGGGGCAATTTCCGACCCCAGCCTTCAGAATGGGGACTCTGGTCCTTGGTAGCTCTTGGGCTTTTGGGCTCTTGGTAGCACTGAGGTTCCCCACACACAATGCAGGGGAGCGATGACCTGGCATGTTCTGCCCCGTGTTGCCTCCCCTCCAATTCCCCAGAAGAGGGGAAACCTCCACCCCCATGCACACGGTGACAGATCTCACCAGATCCACGATGACTTGGCCCGATGGTTTCAACCCGCAGTTGACTTGGCACCTACCGCACAGAGGTAGCCAGAGCCCGGCGTGGTGTCGAGACCCAGCAGCAACCGAGTGATGGTGATCATGTAGTCCTTCACGAACGACTGGGGGGAGACATTTCGGCAGGCAGCCGGAGAAAAGGTTTGCTCAGTTATTCATTGGGACAACCAAAGGGGCGGCTGCACCGGCAGCGGTGCATTACCCAGAGCCTGCCGGGGACACCCCCCCGGGGTGCTCCAGCCTGTGCCAGCAGCTGCGGCCACATGGGGGGCTCCCCACGGCCCCTCGCCGTGGGCTCTCACCTGGTAGAGCAGAGTGTCCAGCATGCTGATGCTGAAGACCCTCCCGGCCGCAAAGGGCAGCCGGAACATGAAGGCCAGGTTGGAGCCATTCTCTCGCTCTTTCTGGAAGAAGAAGGGGAGATGTCAGCGCCCGTGGGGTCTTGTTCACATCCTTGCAGGGCACTTTCACATGCCCCGGTGTCTGGTTCAGGCGTATTTTCTCCCTTGTCAGAAGATCTGTCTCAGCACAGTGACCCCCACTGCCCCCCTTGCCCCTCTGAAACCTGATTGAGAGGTCCAGCGTGCCCAGCACAGCAGTAGGCAAAGCAGCACAAACTCCAGCCACCGCATAAATACATAAGTACGTAGAAGGAGGTACTTAGTCCAAAGGTCAACTGCCCACATATTTGTTTGCTGCAGGTTGTCTCGAGTAGATGCGCACTAACTACAGTCGCTGCAGCATGCAGAAGAGCACAGCACCTTGAGGAGCTCAAATGTAGTCACTCTCAGCATTGACTTCCCAAGGGAAGACCTTCTCTTACCTTTTCTAGCTTGGAAAGGGCAAGAGAGTAACTGTCCTTTGCTCTGAACTGCATGAACCTCATGTTGGAGGGGTGGGTCAGCTCTGTGATAATGCTGAGGCTGGGGAAGAGCCTGCAATGGAAAGAGACCTGTTGTCCTACAGCTCACTCAGAAGTGAGAGGACTCCCCACATTTAAACCTGAGGAAGACCAAACCCATCCCTGTGCCTGCCTGAGGTCAGAAATAGCTGATTAGATGCCATTCCCTAGAGCGAGCCCAACTGCAGATGTATCCCACTGCCCGCAGCCACCACCCCGGTCACCGGCACCCTTCCCAGTCTTGTCTCCAGCAGAGGTAAGTGGCCGTGACGGAGCCGGGGTAGCGGTCACCCCTCACCTGAACATGGTCTGGACGTTGACAATCGTCTTTGCATCCGCCATGTAGTCCTCCTCGGCGCTCATCGTGCTCTCCTTGTCCACAACCACCAGGTTGTCGGCGTAGATGATGCCACACTGCAGCAAGCTGTCCAGGCTGGGCAGTTCCCAAAGAGAAGAGCGCAGGGTCAGCCCTTGGAAACGACACAGGGAAGCAGCACGCTGCGACGCGCAGCGCTACAGCAAGCCCAGGCTCCTCCCAACCACCAGCTCTTCACCTGCTCCTACCTACCGGGGGGGTTCGACAACCCGAGAAGCCAAGGGTGGGCTCAGCTCTACGGTACCAACCCTGGGGCTTCTCATGGGATGACCCAAAAGTCTGGGCTGGGGTAAATGCAACACATTTAGGCATCACCATAAGTAACAACAGCCACATGTGGAAACACCTACTTGTCGATCGTGCCCTCCATGTAGTAAACCATGGGGAAACAACAGATGGCTTCCAGAAAGTGGTGCTCGGGCCTGGAGGAAGAGCAACAGAGAGCAAGGTGGTTCAGCAAGTCCATGGGGAAAGGACAAACACAAAACCCACACAGGAGTCCCCAGGGCCAGCATCAGCCAAGGTACCCAACAGTGGCACTGCCATTCCCCCGCGCTCCCATCCCCACAGTATGAGATGCCCATGAAAACACAGGGGAGGGCTCGGTGCGATGGAAAACATCTGTGGAAAAGTACTTGCTTGTTGTCCAGCAGCAACACAATTGGGTTCAACTCTTTGCGGGACCGATAGTACGCACGAAGGGGGACGATGAAGTTATACAGTCCGTTCCCAGCCGTCTCAGCCGAAACAATAATCAGTTTGTTCTTAAACCCGTAGGCTTTGGCATCTTCAAAGCTGTTGTGCTTGCAGCCCTGTGCGGTGGAAGGCAGCACGGGGACTCAGTGGGCGGCTGTCCACCGCCCACCCACCATCCCGCTCCCGGGGGGGGGGGCTGCGGCCCCCGAGCAGCCGCCT